TTTTTTTTCGTCATTTTAGACTTTTTAAAAATATTTTTATCCTTTTCGATATTCTTTTTGTTTGATCGGCTTGTTTTATTAAAAAATGACTATGTCCAATGAAATACAATTTTTATTACAAAGTTGCTTGATATCCAATGTTTTTAGTTTTGGCATTAGGGGCAAAGACATACAAATTCTTTCCAGTTCCAACTCTTGAACGCGCTACGTAAAGTTGAGCATGAGAAAAGCAAGGAGTTTCTAGGTTAATACCAGCAACCTTAAGTGACTGTCCTTGAGTTTTATTAATGGGCATCGCAAAGACAATACGTACTGGAAAGTGCAGATGCTTGAATTCAAAGGGCATGTCAGTAGAAATGATGGGTATTCGTGGTACGAATAAATCTTCACCATTTGCGCAACCTGTCAAGATTGTTACTTGAATAACATGAGGCATCAAACTTTTTACACAGCCGTGTGCCAGAGCATAGTCATTATGCTCCAGGTTTCTCAGGAGCATAATGGAAAAACCAATTTTGAGCAGCAAGTTATGTGGCGGCATTTCAGGAGGCTCGAGAGAATTGAGAAATTCCGTGGGATACTGAACCGCCTCGTTGACATCCGCAACTGTGTCGACCGACTTGTATGATGTAGCTTCTCCGGGCAGCTGTTGCTGAATCTGTAAGTTGATGGCATTCACACTGTTATTTTTAGGAGCAAGAATAGCACGTTCACAAAGCCATTTCTGATCGTTGAAATGGTGCCATATATTTGGGAACACACTGATTTTCAGTACTTTAGTTGACTCTACTACGTTGAAAAAGTTGTTGGGAATGCTGATGAGTTCACTGGTCGGGTCAACTAGTACTTTTCCATCACCAAGAGTGAGCAGTTGTTGAGCGAAATGCCCAGCAGACACATCACCTTGCAAGTGAACTCGCATGTTGGTTTTGAGTCCCAGTTTGTGAACATGTCTCCAGAGATATGAAGCTTTCAAGCAAGCTTTAAGTTTATCGGTCATTGTTCCCTTTGGAATAATAGACAGCGTTTGACGAAAATCACCTTCTAGGGGCACAACAACTCCACCCATAAGTTTTCCATTGCCGCGAAGATCTTAAAGAGTTCGATCCAGAGCCTTCAATGGCTGTTTGTGGGACATGGTGCACTCATCCCACACAATAACTTCACACTCTTGCAGAATCTTGGTTTGTCCTGTTCCTTTGCTGATGTTGCAGAGAGGACTTTCAGAATGTGAAAGTTAAAAGGCAGCTTGATGGTTGAGTAAGCAGTACAACCACCGTGAAGAAATGTGGCAGCAATTCCAGGAGAGAGCATTGCAATTGCAATTTCCGATTGTTGTAGGATTTTAGCTAAGAGCAAGTTGATGATAAATGTCTTTCCTGTTTCACCTGGTGCGTCAAGAAAAAGTATTCCACCGGTTTTTCTATTCATCAGGTCCAAGATGGCATTGTAAGCAGATCTCTGCTCTACCACTAGCAGTGACTCATTTGCTGACACATATTTATCCAACTCGTTCACGTCGTAGCTTGTTTCTCTGAGCATTTCTCTGCTCAATCAATCACCGAGATTCCTTTCAGGAGTGGGAAGACCTAATCGCTTGAGGTCTTTGTCAGCCATCTCCATAACTTTATCTTCGAGGATAATCAGTGCTTGATTGAACATGTCACGTGTGTAATCCAAATCCATTCCGGGATTTCGTCTGCGAGCTTGTATGAGAATGTCTTCGGCCAGGCTTAGCTTGTGAGACTCCCACAATTGTCTCGGATTAGATAGTCCGAAAGTGGTTAGCAAAATGGCGAATAGATTTCTCAGTCTTGTAGGTGATTGAGCCGCAGCCGCTTCGAATATCGTAGCATCCCAATGCATATCATCTTCAAGCAAGCCTGTTATTTGACAGACCTCACGAAATATTGCACAGATCCTTCCATTAACAGTCCTGAGAGCTTCAAACGAAGTAGGACCTTTGACAGTGTGAAGTAAGAGCCACAGGAAGAAGTATTCAACGTTATTCGGATGCACAATATAGACGCGACCAAGAGCGCCCGTTGCTCTTAAATCAGTATAACCAGGTACAACGGCTTCTTGATACTTTGGGACATCACAATGCAGCAGCGTTTTGACGAAGTTGTCTTCCGTGAAATAGACGCGTCGACCATTTTCCAAGTGCACAGCCAAATGTACCACCGTTGGGTGTCGTTCGTGAATTTGAAAGTCCAGGATTCGCCAAACTATCTCATTGCTACTGATGTATCTACCTAACAGGTAGCGTTGAACTGCATCAATTGCTGTTCCATCTCTTTCCAAGCCAAACATTGCCTGGTCACTGCCTTTGTTTACATATTTTCAAATGTATTTGACCGACTTCATCGAATTGCAATATTCAACCTTGATGTGGGCTTGAAAGATCCGATAGAGCAATGAACAGTATGATACAACCAATTTATTGTCGATTTTAATCTCTCGGTAGGAATTGACAATTTTCACCTTGGTTTTGGCTTTGACGCCACCATCTTTTGGTCTTCTTCTCCTGTACAACGGATACCCAACTTCGCCGATTTGCGTGTCGGTAAGAAGTTGTCTTAGGAATCTTTTGGTGCACTTTCCGTCCTTCATGCGGGAAGAGCTGGGATTGACATTACTACAAGGATCGTGAATCATGGTTTTGACGATTATGTCAAACAGGCAAGGATCTTGTTGAGGATCGGGTAGCTCTGCACTGATGACACTGTCTATCTGATCTGGACCAATTTTATCCTTTAGTCATATCAAGATGTGGGCACGTGGAAGTCTCCTCTTTTGCCTGAACACTCTTGCCAACAAATCGTGGCGGGCCGAATGAGTTTGGCCAATCATCAGCTCTGCTTGGATTTCTTGCCAATTGGGATTGCAAGTGAACGTCACAAATAGGTCGGATCTCCCGTAGCTTCTGACAGATGTCATAGCATCTTGGGTGTACTCGTGCATGTGGCGTGGACTTCCAGTGAAGGTGGATGGTAGAATCACTAATTGACGAAGATTGTTGGCATTAGCATCATTGCCTACTGCATCTCTGAGGTGAATGTATTCGCCCACTCTAAGTTTCTTCTGATTGAGGCGTACATACAATAGTCGCTCACTCTCAATCTTCGCATACATGTCAACTACAAACTAGTGGAAAAGTTGACGGCACCTTAAGATGTGATTGACAGCTCCTGCTCGCATCATCAATCTGTATGCATAAGAGTTCATAGCCGATACCTTTTTGCTGTTGACAGGCATTCCTCTTGTCGGATCAGTCTGCATGATGAGAAAATGATAGCCATCTTCTCCCTCCCAAAAGATGAGAGGGTATTGCAACGCATCATAGGACGTATGTGTCTCTGCCACTCTCTGCAGTTGGTTGTTTATTTTCTGCAAGACAATATCCCGCCTGTGAAATTCGTTGCCCACAATGACGATTGCCACCTCATTTGCCACAGGTTCTTTGAAGAGCAGAATTGAAAATGTGGACATAACTGTTATGCTGGTAAATCATTTATTGCAGTTCCATGACGATGTCCTGATGTGCGCCAGGAATATAACTGCAACGCTGCTTTGCTTCTTGTTGTTCGTCGCCCATGAAATAAATTTGAAGAAATTGAGACTTCTCATTCGAAAGTGACAACAGAGATCCCACACGATGGTAGACTTGGCCCTAAACCTTGAAGGTAGGCATAAAACCTGGTTCACATACCTCATTTGTTGCGCCAAAAGACATCAGCTGAAAGCAAAAGTGATACTTTCTGATGTTTTCCAGAAAATGCTTCGATCTGGATGTTGTTTCTGACATCAATGATTGTAATAGTTCTGGAGGAGGTCGAAGCGATGGTAACCTCACCTTACCACCGGCACAGCACATGCCTGAAGCTTCACCTGCCCACTTGAGAGCACTGCAGTATGAGCAAACGTTATTCATTCGTCCGATATCATATTGAGGATAGTTGTCGTAGCTGCTGTCTGGATTGTACCGAAATCCTTCACCTTCTATGAATGTTCATCGTCCTGCCCTGGAAGCTGCTTGTCTTGTACGTTGATCTTCACTGTGAGTCCGTCTCTGTTCCGCAGTCTCAGCTGCTCGGGAAGCTGCCATTCTCCTAGAAGCTGATGTACTTCTGCCCACAGGGCTCTTCGTTTTGGTGGCATTTTGCAGTATTCCTAATGTAAATAGGATAGGTTAGAAATATTCTTTAAGAAAGGTGTATTTTTAACAAAGTTACCTAAGAAATTTGCTCTTGAAGTTACAATCGAAAATACTTTAGTAATCTGTAAATTTTGTAGTGTGTATTGAATGTTACACACTTACTTGTTTGTGCATGAGTACGTTCATTAGTAGAATCGTCGAAAGATGAGAAACACTATAATGAATATGGCTCTGATA